TTGAACATACGATATAATGTGCCATATCATGAATATTATTATACATTTTGTGGACGTATATATATGTATATGTATATGTCTATGAATTGTTCTACAATTCTAGCGTGGTACCACTCAGCGGTTTCGCTGAGCGTGTAGTTTGTATTTTTCGTTGACTACACGTAGGTAACAAGAAGACAATGATGGAACCACTCCCGGAAGGCATTGAGTCAGAGGAGATGCAAGGATGGCAGGCAAATGTTGATCATCAGATTTTTAAATGTGTCATGATTTGATTATTTTTGTACTTCCGCATTACTCTGAAAATATTTTTTTAAATGGGTCGCGATCCAGAGTCTGTAAATTTAATATTTATAAGTAATTGTTATTTTCAAATGTCAAGCGAAATTTTTATTTAACTCTTGTTTCACCTTATTTCGTGTAATTCCGGATTATACGGATTGGGGTGTTACAAATTCATAATCATCATTTCATTCAGAATAATTATCATCATTATTCCATAATATTTATTGTAATCAACAATCAACCAATCATCATAATATCTAATAACAATAAGTGGCATAGCGTCGAGTGTTAACACTCTAGCTTACCGTCATGCATCACGTAAGGTCCTTTTAGTTGTCAAAACACCATTTTTATTCCAAGAAATCATTTTTATATTAATCATAATTGATTGGTATCAAAAATAGGATTTTTGGGTTCAAAAATAACATTTTCAGAAGTCGGGGGGATCGATCTAGCTTGGAGGATCGATCCTCTTCATGAGGTTTCTCCCAGGTGATTGATCCACATGAGATGATCGATCCACCCAGTATAGTTCCTCTACTGCGGTGATCGATCTAGCTTCCTGAATCGGTCCGCCTGTTACTATTCATTGTCTTCTACCTTCGGTGCATGTTCGAAAATATCATTTTTTTTAGTTACCAAACTTCAATTAAACTATATAGAAAGGTTCTACAAGATCCATAGATCATTTTAGTATCATTAATTCATGATTTTAACATCAAATTCAAGGTTTATGATTCTTGAATGTTCAAGTATGTCAAACACAAAACTCAACCAAATAACCATTTATGAACGTAAAAACAACCTACATGAACATTATAGTCTTTAGATATATCTACGGGCTTACCTCGAAGCTAAATGGAGGTTTTGAATATTTTCCGGTGAATCTTTCGGCGAGGATTACTCTTAGCTCCGGCAACTTTACACCAAAATGACAGCACCACTACGTTCTCCACACTCAAAGCTAACTCTCAGAAGAAATTTGGGAAGAAATGATGAAGAATTGGGTAGGAAGAGGTGGTCCTTATATAGCCCCAGTGAAGAGGAAGAAGACACGGTGATGACCTCCCTTCGACTGTTTTGGCGGCTGAGTGGAGTGGGCTGCTATCTTCTCCGATTCTAAACGTAAGTCCCTGAGTGGGACTAAATTGGTCCCAGTCGGGGAACACTTTTTTGTCCAACTTTCTCCGAATTCAAATCTGATTGAACCGTTGGGATCAGACAGTTAAATTCTACATAACGATATAATTTTCTTTATTTATTGACAAACTTTATAAATTACATATTTTTGGGTCCTTCTCAGTAATTAATTAATTATCAATTAATTAATTCTGATAGGCCTATTTTTGGGGCGTTACACGCTCCTTGTTGTTGAACACAAAATATCATGGAAATTTTGCATACGTTAATTTTTCTCCCGCATTGTACTTTGAATTGGCAATCATCCAAGCTTCAAACATTGAAGGTTTGTAAAGATTTTGTCTGGCAACATCTGTCAATTTTTGTTGCTCTTTAAAAGTGACAAATTTTTGTCCTGGGAGATGGAAATTCAACCTCAATACCGCTGGCCACCTGTGGTGTATATCAAAAGAGAGGATTCTCCAAGATGCTTCACATGCAGATATGTAACGACAATCATAATATTTCTCTCTTTCATCACACACCTCATTATGAGCATCATCAGAGTTAGATTGGGTAACTGCAACAGTTACTCTATCCGGACCCTTATTGGCATATGTAAAGAGATATTTGATTGAAGAAAAATTTACCTAAATAGGACTAAAACATAATGACTTTCCCAATATAAGACCATATGTTTTTATTTCCCAATGTAGGACCTTTGGTCATTATGAAGTAGTCATTATTCAACTAAATGTCCATCATTACTGGACATTATTTCTCCCACTAGATCATTATTAAGTCCTATTTTGGGAATAAAAACGTTTAAGTCCTACATTAAGAAAGTCATTATATTTTAGTCCTATTTAGGACAAATTTCACTTGATTGAATTAGATTTGTTGTAATATTCGATGTTGATGTGAGCTTGATACCTCATCAAGAGTAGTGGGTTGTATGAAACAACAAATCGATTATCCAACTCGATATCCTTTCTTGTTGTGGTGATCCCCATGTTTCTTCTTCTGTACACCAGGTACCCATTCTCATCAAACGATGTCTTGTCAAAAAATTTTTTCGGGAAATATTTTTTGCATTTTCCATCGTCCATACATGGAGATCTAGGATCATTTACTCCACAGGGACCATGCATGTAACACCCTAATCCGTCCAGGTCTGCAGTCCCTTTCGGACTAAAGTATTTAACTTGGGAATCGTAAAATTTAAAACTTTTCAAACACACTTTATTAATCTCAATAATATTTTTCATAACATATACAGTACGGAGTATTTAACAATATTGCGGAAGCGAATTTAATATTGACATATCATAAATCATTTCAAAACTTGTCACATCCATCCCGACAATCTCGCCCTATCTGCCGCCAGGATCACATTGTGCTTTCTGCTTACCTGCGTGTAGCAAATAAAACACACTACACGCTCAGCGGTAAAGCTGAGTAAGCATATCTAATGCGTCGAACATCCATATAAACTGAATCTAAATTCATAATCAAATCATTTGATATCATGCACACAATGTTCACTTCAGACATTCACAGTTTTGGTATTATTCAGTTCATATCAACACATTTTATTCAATTCAGATATTAATCCAATAGTGCTCTTAAATTATTCTTAATCTAAGGCCAAATCATAACAACGCTCTTAGTTATTCTTAGTCTAAGGCCAGATCATAACAACGCTCTTAGCTATTCTTAGTCTAAGGCCAGATCATAATAATGCTCTTAACTATTCTTAGTCTAAGGCCAAATCATAATAATGCTCTTAGCTATTCTTAGTCTAAGGCCA